ACAAGGCAATTCAAGGCAGAAAAGGATAGTGTTTTAACAAATGGTGCTTAGACAATTGGATATCCACACACAAACAGATGGATTTAGATCTCACATCTTACCTCACAACATACACAAACAACAACTCGAAATAGATTATAGGTCTAAATGTAGAGAAAAACTATAAAACTTTATGAAGAAAACATGAGAAAATCTTAGAGACCTTAGATTAGGCAAAGAATTCTTAGATATAACACCATATTCATAATCTTAAGAGAAAAAAATTGATAAATTGGACTTTATCAAAAGTAAAATTTCTTCAGAAGACACTATTCAACAAGATAAAAAGACAAGCCACAGATTGAGTGAAAATATTTGTAAATCATTTATTTGAAAAAGGGTTTATATCCAGAATATTTAATATTTATTTAAAATATTTAATATTTTAAATAAAAGGCCAAGCAACCTAATTAAAAAATAAGCAAAAGATTTGAAAAGACAGTTCACCAAAGAAAGTATACGAATGGCTGATAAGCTTTTGAAAAGCTGCTCAACATTAGTCATTAGAGAAATGTAAATTAAAACCATAATGAGACATCACTTCGAATCTACTAGAATGGCTATAACATAAAAGATAGGCAATAACAAGTATTGGCCAAAGATGTGTAGAAATTAGAATGTTCATATACTGCAGATGGTAGTGCAAAATGGTTCATCCACTTTGGAAAACAGTTTGGCAGTTTCTTAAATAGTTAAATATTAAATTACCATATGACCCAACAATTCTACTCGTGTGTATCTCCCCAAGATAAACATAATAAAAATATAAGTGCACACAAATTCTTGCATGCAAATGTTTATAGCATTATTCATACCAGCCAAAAAGTGGAAATAATCCAAATGTTTATAATCTGGTGAATGGATAAACATAATGTGGCATATCAATTCTTGCATGCAAATGTTTATAGCATTATTCATACCAGCCAAAAAGTGGAAATAATCCAAGTGTTTATCATCTGGTGAATGGATAAACATAATGTGGCATATACATATAATAGAATACACAATATATTCAGCAATAAAAATAAATGATCTATTAACACATGCCACAACATAGATGAACCTCAAAAACATTATACCAAGTGTAAAAACAGATGCAAAAGACCACATGTTATGTGGTTTCATTTATATAAAATGTCTAGAAAGCATAACTCTATAGAATGTGGATTAGAGGTTGTCTGGGGCTAGAGGAGGGAAAGGGAATCAACCGCAAATGGACATGAAGGATCTTTTTGGTGTGATGGAAATGTTTTTAAAATTGTTTTACAGTAATGATCGTACAATTGTATAAATTTAGTAAAACTTATTGACTTATACCCTTAAAATGAATGAACATGGTATGTAGACTGCACTTTAATAAAGCTGCTGGAAAAACCAAATATCAATAGTCTCCAATATAAATGATGCGTATAAATGAAATTTTCATAGCAGCTTTAATCATAATAGCCTGAAACTGGAAATCCAAATGTCCATCAATGATGAATGGATAAACAACTTGTCATATAATCCATATAATGGAATACTACTTAGCAATAAAGTGAAATGAATTACTGACATTTGCAACAATATGAATGAATCTCAAAAGCATTATGCTAAGAGAAAGAAGCCGGACACAAAGACTACTTACTATATAATTCCAATCATATAAAATTCTAGAAAAAGGCAAAATTGTAGTGATAGAAAGTAGATCATTGTTGCTGGGGGCCAGGGTATGAGGGGAGGGGATTGCAAAGAGATAGGAGGAAACTTTTTGAGAAGGGAATATTTTGTATCTTGATTGTGATAGTGGTTATATTACTCAATACATTTGTCAACATTCATTAAACTGTATACTTAAACTGATGAATTTCATGGTATGTAAATCATCAAAGGTGACAAAAACACAAGGAATGTTCTTCATTGAGAAAACTGAAATGAAAGTATTCTGACTTGGAGATATATATCTATATATCCATATATATCTTTATATTCTATCAAAAAGGTACAGGCAGGTAGGAGGTGTGTCCTCAACTTTTCATAAAGTATATTTTCCATTGGTGTTGAGGCATTAAGTGACCAGATAAATAATTTAGAAGGAATGTTGAAGGAAACCCAAGTTCATGCTACTAAGTAAGGGGTTCCTTTGTGGGGTGATAAAGTTCTGGAATAAGTGGTAATATTTGCACAACTTTGTGAATATACTAAAAATCACTGAGTTGTACACAAAGGGTGAGTTTTATGGTATGTAAATTGTATCCCAGTTTAAAAAGAAAAGAAACCCAAGCTCATTAAAAATACAAGCCTTTTTGATTTTTAGTTTTTTATCTTTATTTACAATATAGGTATGAAATAGAGGAAGTTAACAATAAACAATGACAAAGGAATATTTTAAGTATCTTTTTATTTGTGAAGTTTACTTTTGCTGTGTAGCTATTAAATAAAATAAATATGAAAATAAGCTAAATGTATTTACTGGAACGCGTTACTATTTTTGTCAATGTGACTAATTACTTTTTAAATTCCCAATCAAATTTCTAATTATAAATAGAAAGAATTGTACCTGTTTTTTTGTGAAGTTCCTTGCTGTCCATAGCCACTTGAAGGCACTTTCTGGTAGAGTAGTTGCCTGTTAGTTAAGTGAGTCTGAGGTTTTAGTCTGGGCATGATTGATTCAATATGATTATTGTTGAGACATAAGACCTACAGAAAGAATATCGTTTTAATCAGACACCTGAGAAACTATTAAAAATGGTATGGATAAAACTTATAATATACAACACAATTTAATAATATATTAGTGTTAAAAATAACATAACTTTTTATATCCCAAATTATTTGAATTTAGTTCTGAATGTGGGTTTTTTTTTTTTTTTTTTGTCTTTTTTTACTGACCGGTAACGGGATCGCAACCCTCAGTGTTGCGCCCGCACCGCGCTCAGCCAGTGAGCGGGAACTGGTCTCCACATGGGATCCAAACCCTCGGTGGGAGCGCCGCCGCGCTCCCAAGCAGCGCACTCTCCAGTGCGCCACTGGGCCGGCCCTGAATGTGTTTTTTATTATCTGACATGCTGGGAAATTACAACATGTCAAATAAAATTATAATGGAGACCCCAGAAAGCTACTCAACTTTCTCAACTTTTCCAAGCTTGATATGAATGAATAACTCCTTGGTTGGAGAGATAGCTATTTTTCTATGTTCAAAAGGCCTTAGTAGATGGTCAAGTCAAGGCAACAGGAAAGGAGGCAAAGAGGCTGCTTTGAACTTAGTGTCCTCAACTTTATTCCATACCTGCTTACTATAGAGGCAGCTTTCTAACCCATCTCCTACTGCAGAGCAAAATTAACTGCATACAAGACAATCACATAAAACTGAGGTCAAACCAAAATAACTTTTTCTTGCTTAGTAAAAAACAAAACAAAAATCTTTAGGAATAATATCTCTACTTTAATAACATGGAAATACATTTTAATCCAAAGTAAAGAAGATTTCAACTCGCACTGACAACCTTGAAAGAAAAAAATAAAATTTGTAATTGACTCACCTTAACATTAGGCAGATAGATTAATCCACTGAATGAGGTAAGATTATTGTTCTGTAGATTCACATTACACACATTTCTAAATCGGTCAACTGGAATCAAATCTACAGTTCTGAATTTAGACAAAATAAATACAGTGTTTATTTTAATAGGAGAGGAAAACATAGCAAAAGGTGAGTTCCTTCACGTACAATCCCCAAAGGCATTTAAAAAAATCTCATCTGAATAATGCTATGAAAAATAATTACCTTAATGTAAAGTGCATGAGTCAAATGATTGGTTAAATATAGATTTTTTTGTTGGGCACATGTGTAAGAGAATGATATAGATTTTGATTGCTTTTAAAAAAACATATCTATTACCACATAAATACAACAGTACTATCATAAAAGAAACATAAAATAAACATCACCAATTTCTTTATAAATTCACATACATGCTCATGAAATCATAGTGAATTTGATATGGTAAATAATAAGATTTTCAGGTTCCAAACTTCAGAAGATATATGTGAAGTAGGTTATGTTTGAAATGCCAGGAAGGGGTTACGGATAGAAAAGAGAACAAGAAAGCAGGAAAGATCTTTGAAAACAGACTACTGTGGGATCTCCCAAAAACTTTTATGGCATTCCAGCTTGTAAGAATGTTTTGGCAATTAAACAAAATGCTTAATTCCTAGTCCTTAGCTATGTGACTGTTCTACCTTCATTTGAGCCAGAATAGAGAAGAACATAAAACTAAATCACCTTTCTTCTTTTTTTTTTTTTTTTCCTGTCCGGCAACGGGATCGCAACCCTCAGTGTCGTGCCCGCACCTCGCTCAGCCAGTGAGCGGGAACCGGTCTGTATGTGGGATCCGAACCCTTGGCGGGAGCGCCGCCACACTCCCAAGCGGCGCACTGTAGCAGTGCGCCACCGGGCCGGCCCCTAAATCACCTTTCCCTAACCACTTTAAGCAAATCCTAAACCTGAGGTTATAGTTATGACAATTTATTCACTAATAAGTCATTCATTCAACATATTTGCATTAGTATTTCCTAAGTGCAGACAATGTGTTTGAAAAGGCTACAACAAAAAAGAAACTGCTCCTGCCCTCAAAAAGTGGAAGCCAGAAAAACTAAAATAAAAAGGAAAACTGCTGTAGTAGAGTCAGATGTAATGGCATTTTGGGTAATGAAAACACCTTTGAGGAAGTCAAAGATTGTATTACAGAGGAGAGAGATCTTGAGATGAGATTTAAAAGGTTTGTAGGTATTTGTCAGGCAAATTAGGAGGAAAGAGTTCCAAGCAGTGAAACAGGCACAAACAAAGGCAGAAAAATGAAATAGTATCTTCCGATTGAGATGCAGAAACTGGAATATTTCATTATTTTTGAAATATAAAGTGTCATGGGCAGAAAAGGCAAGGATTACAAGAGATAAAAATGGATAGGTAATACAAAGGAATTTTACATACGATGCCATACAAAGGAATCTTAAATTTTATTCTGCAGATAATGGAAAGCCACTGAACAATGTTGAAAAAGGATGTAATCTGATAAAACTCACATCTTAGAAGGCAGTATGGATAACAGAGAAGGGTTTTCAGGGAAGATTTGTTTATATAAGACAAACAACAAAAAGATCACTGAGAGAGTTTCTAAAATAGTCTACTGCCCAGCCTAGGCCAATGGTAGTGATTATGGAAAGAAGGAAGAATTATGAGACATACTTAGGACATGGACTCTATAGAACTTGGTGAAGAAATGAAAATGGAAGACAAAGGAGAGAAAGAAATGACCCAGATTTTTCTCAGATTTTTTTTGCTCACGTAACAATAGGTAGATGTTGTTACTCTAGAGAGCAATTAAATACTCAGGTGAAAAACCTAGGTTTGGGCTAAAAATGATAAATTTGGGGATCATCACAATAAATTAAAATTATAGCTAAAGATAAGGCTGCCCATGAAGAGTACATTACAAGAAAAAGATGAGAGCAAAGAAAAGGGAATTACAGGAGAGGAGTAGAGAAGGGAAGACAGAGGAGGAGGGGTCTGAGAATAAAACTCTGAGAACATCAGAAGGTCAGAACTGATAAACTTGAGAAGTTTATAGAAAAATCAAGAATGTGAAATTACAGGTAAAAAGGGGAGACAAGTACAAGGAAGGAGGAGTCAGCCAAGTTAGATAAGAATTAAAAATAATCTGGATTTGTTAACCAGGAGGACAGTAATGATGTTCAAGAGAGTAGTATCAGAGGAATGGTGGCAGTGGAATAAGGTTGCATTGGATAACAGTGATAAAATGTGCGGAGCAAACCTAGTGTGTTCTAACTTTAAAAGCTTGGCTGTAAAAGAAAAGAGAAACACAAAGTCCAAGAAAGAGATTGATGACATTTTAAACCAGTTGTTGATGGTAAAAATTATTAATGCATTTCAAAGGGTGCATGAGATTTTGAAGTAGTGTAGATGATTTTCTGAATTACTGGTTATATTTAGGTAAGATGTATAAATGTATGAACTTCAGAAAATGATAATAATTACATATGTAATTATAATGTCAAAAAGCATATAATAAAATAATTATACCTGATGGATGATGAAGTCCAATTTAGTTCTTCCATTTGGGTGAAATTTGAATGTCCCTGTCGTTCTGCAATCATGTCAGAAGTAAGTCGGCCACCAAATAAATCTTTTGCACTCTCAGTCTCCGGTGGTTCCTATATTAGGACATTTAGAAATTGATGTCCTCTCTTACAGATGACTAAATCACATTAATTCTCTGGTTTTAGGTAAAAATGGAGGGATTCATTTCTCCCTATTTCTCCTACTAAGTACAGCTAAAACCCCTGCAAATTATATATAAAACAGACATAAGAATATTGAAAGGTATAGAGAAAAAGTTAGACCAGCTAGGGACCTTGGTACCTGAGGATTGACACCCTGTATTTTCTTCTTGCTTTATATGCCAAGACTGGGTGCTGGAGAATCCAGAAACCCAGAAATGTTAACAGGAGAAAACAAAATAAAGTCCACAGAAAAATCCTGCTTTTTCCAGTCAAAGAACCAGGAAAGGGGGATCCTAGCAAGAGGAAAAACTTTTAGACAATAATAGGTTTACTCCGGCTAAACACCACATTATGAATGGGGGTCCACCTCCATCCCACCAGTAAAAGCAGAATGGACTTCCACCCTCGTCCAGCTATACCAAGGCACTCCGTCATCCCTCTGGTGGGTGGGAGCCTGACATTTCATCCCCTCTGTATTAGTCTGCTTCTGTTGCTTATAACGAAATACTCAGAACCGTGTAAATTATAAGAAAATAAAATTTACTGCTTACAGTTTCTGAGGCTCGTAAGTAGAAAGTTCAGGGAACAGAGCTGGTGAAGGTCTTGGTGATGGTGACAGTGATGGCAGGGCATCACATTGTGAAAATGGTGGAGCAGAGAGACAAACTGTCCTTTCTCTTCCTTTAAAGCCCTCAGAACCATGCCCCTGACCACCAGTTTTAATCCATTCACTACTACACGGTCCTAGGTCCTACGTCTAATCACCTCTTCAAGGCTCCACCTTTCAATTACCATAATAGGATTTCCCACCCTCTTACCAGTCACAGTGGGGGCCAAGTTTCTAATACATGACACTTGGGGGACACAATTCAAGCTTCAGTGAGTTTTGGGGGACATAATTCAATCCACTACACCTCCCAGCATTAATCCCCCCAAACCCCTAGTATTACTGGAGACCACACGAGAAGCCTGGATTTCCACTTCTACCCAGTAATAATGAGGTGTCTGTGCAGCATTAATGAGGCACTCCTGCCCCTCCCAGCCAGGATGAGTCAGTGGAGGCCTATGGGAAACAGTAACAAGGAGTCCCTCCCCCTCCTAGCGGATTTCCACTTCTACCCAGTAATAATGAGGTGTCTGTGCAGCATTAATGAGGCACTCCTGCTCCTCCCAGCCAGGATGAGTCAGTGGAGGCCTATGGGAAACAGTAACAAGGAGTCCCTCCCCCTCCTAGTCATAATGAATCAATGGAGGTCTGGTGGGGAACTTGAACTCCTACCTCAGCCTAGCAGTTAATGAAACACATCTTCAGGTGGTCAGCAGAGGCCAAATGGGAGCACTTGGACTTCTACTTCCCTCCCACCTGACAGCAACAAAGTGGTGCCCCATCTTCTCATTGGTGCAATATCAAGGAAGTCTTGCTAAAATAGAATATTTAAATAAGATACATGTTCTGTGATATAATACTCAAAATGTCCACAATAAAACAGAAAAGTCTCTCATTGTGCCCAAAACCAAGAAAATCTCAACTTGAATATAAAAAGACAATCAACAGATATCAACACTGAGATGACACAGATATTTGAAATTATCCATCAAGGATTTAAAAGAGGCTATCACAAAAATGTTTCAACAGGCAATTATGAATATACTTGAAAGAAATGAAAAAAATAGAAACTTTCAGCAAATAAGTAGGATGTATGAAGAAGAATGAAATAGAAATTTTAGAATTGGAAAGTTCTGCAACAAAAGAAGCACAATACATGGGCTCAATAGCAAAATAGAGAGAACAGAGGAAAGAATCAGTAAACTTTAAGATACAGCAGTAGAAATTACCCAATGTAAAAAAAAGAGAGAAAATAGACTTTAAAAAAATGAGCCTCACCCTACCAAGATAGATCATATCCTGAACTGTGGGATCATAACAAAAGGTTTAACATTAGTATCTTTGAATTCATAGAAGGGAGGGGAAACAGTCCTGGCTGAAAAAGTATTTGAAGAAATAATAGCTGAAAATCCCCCAAATTTGGCAAAAGACATAAACCTACAGATTCAAAAAGCTAAACAAACCCCAAACAGAAAACCCCCCTAAAAATCCATGTGAGGACACATAATAATAACGATAATCAAATTTATGAAAACTAATGACAGAGAAAAAATCATAAAATCAGTGAGAGAGGAACGAAATCTTACCTATATGGAGAAAACAATTTGAATGACAGATTTCTCATCAGAAACCATGAAAACCAGGGAATGTGACAGCATTTTTCAAGAGGTGAATGAAAACAATTGTCAACTCAGAATCCTATATGCAGAGAAAATATCATTCAGAAATGAAAAGGCACATCAAGACATTCTCAGATGAAGGAAAATTAAACAAATTGTCACTAGCAGACCTCCCTAAAAGACGGCAAAAGGAAGTTTTTGAGACAGAAAAAGAAATAAACATAAAAAGTAATCTTGAAATACCAAGAAAGAAGAAAGCGCAATGGAAGGAGTATTAATGCAATAGACTTTCCTTCTTCTCTTGAGTTTTCTAAGTTATATTTGATTGGCTGAAGTAAAAAAGTGTAATATTGTCTGATGTGGTTCTCAATATATATAAAGGAGATATTTAAGACAAGGGAGGAGAAATGGGCTTAAGAGAAGTAAGATTTCTATACTTCACTCGAACTGGTAAACATGTCAACACCAGTAAACTGCAATAAATTATGCACATGTAATGTAATACCTACAGCAACCATTAAAAAATCTACATGAACAGATACACTTAAAAATGCTATCAATCAATAAAAATAGGATTCTAAAACATATTCAGGTAGCCTACAGTAAGGCATTAAAAAGAAAACAAAAGAAAGAAACAAAAAGCAAAAAATAAAATAGCAGACTTAAGCCCTAAATACATTCACCAATTAAAAGATAGAGATTTGCAGTGGATAAAAAAAATGATCCAACTGTATGTTGCCAACAAGAAATTCATTTCAAGTATAATGATATATGCAGGTTGAAAGCAAAAGGATGGCAAAAGATATACCACACAAGCATCAATCAAAAGAAAGCAGGAGTGGCTAATTAACCTCAAATAAAGTAGACTTCAAAGCAAAGGAAGTTACCAGAGACAAAGAGGGACTGATAAAAGTGTCAATCCACCAACAAGACATAACAATACTAAATGTATGTGTACCAAACAACAGAACTGTAAAATATGTAAAGCTACAGTCCCCAGTTATTTTATCAGCTATACTAATCTAGGTGTTTCTGTGAAAGTATTTTGCAGATACTTGTATAAATAAAACTTCTAATTATCTGGCTTTCAATAAAAAGATCATCTTGGATAATCTGGATGGGCCTGATTCAAGCAACTGCAAGGCCTTAAAAGCAGAGCTGAGGCTCTCTGAAAGAAAGAATAAAATCCAACTATGGATGGCAGCTTTGGTCCATGCCTGTGAGTTCCAGGCTGCCCATAATCTTCCCTAATGGTCTGCCCTATAAATTTCAGACTTGCTCAGACAGCCCCCACAATTGTTAAGTATTCCTTGATACACAAGGGTACTTCAGAAGGTTAAGGAAGGATTTATATTATCTTTTAACTTCATTTTTCCATGAACTTTTGAAGTACTTGTGTATATATATCACTCTAACTAGTTCTGCTTCTCTGGTTGAATCCTGAATAACATAATCTCAAAATAAGTTTATAAAACACATTAATTCAGCCTTAGAAAGCCACTGATTTTGGATTTTTCTTAATTAGACAAACAACATTTGATTACTGTCGTTCTAAATCAGAGGTCGGCAAACATTTTTTGTACTTTTCCCATAGGCTTTCTGGGCTATAGGTTCTCTGTTACAACTATTTAATTTTGCCATTGTAGTGTAAAAGCAGTTAAAACTATACATAAACAAACAGGCATGAATGTGTTCAAATAAAATTTTATTTATAAAAACAGGTGGCAGGCCACATTTGGCCCAAGGGCCATAGTTTACCCACCTATTTTAGACAAATGGCTTGAACTTGACCTGAACAAAATGGATAAGTCATTCGATCTACTTTTACTCAAACTCCCTTCTTTTTCTCCTATTCCACTAAAACTTCATATCTGAATTGAGAATATGTACATGTATTCTTAATGCAAAAATATGCATTTAAAAATAGAAGTATGCATGAAGAGGAGATAAAATGAAAACACAGCTACCCACACTACCCTTTGATTTTTCATAGTCTCTCCTCCTTTGGTTTCCGCTCCCACTCCAAAGAAGGCAATATGATTACATGTCTAGAGAATTTCGGACAAAGAGTTAAAATCATCTGTTCATGACTTATCATTAAAGAAGTGTGTTACTTGGAACAACACAGTTAACTTTCAATATGATTACATGTCTGGAGTTTCTTGTGCTCATTCATAAAATAAAGGATTTAAACTATGTCATTTCTAAAGTCCAATTACATCTCAAACACTCAAGTATTATATTGCTCTTTTACCTTCCTCTGTAACCACTTTTTGTGGCTTCTTTTCCTCTTTATGTTTCCTAATTGAATGTATTAAACCCTCACTTAGATTTCTTTACTTTCTCTACTCACCTTCTTTAGACAATATCATGTATGCTTTAGGTTTTAACTACCAACTCATAAAATTACCTCTAAGTCTAAACAATGTAAATTTACATATCTAAATTTAGTCCTATGATTTCAACTGCCTGCTTGATATCTTTAGTCATATAATCTATTATTATATAAAACTTAGTATGTCCAGTACTAATCATCTTTTCTGAGAATTACTTTTCTTCCTATATTCATATTCTGTTCTGGTATCTTTATTGGCATAGACTCAAATCTTGTAGACATCTTTTACTCTTTACTTTCCTTGCCCTTCAAATCCAATGGTTGGCAAATTCTGTCAGTTCTCCCCAGTATTTCTCATGTATTTCAGCTCTCTTGTTTTAAAAGTCCCTTCCCCCTGGTTCAGGTTCTCATTACTTCACAATTAGACTATTCTAACAGCCTCATACTTGGTCTCCCCTCCACCACTGTAAACACTGCCGTTAGATTAAATTTCTCAATATGTAGTTCAGAATATGTCATCTCCCTACTCGAAAATCTTCAATGCATTCCCATTACCTCTCATTTAAAGTCTAAATTCTTCGGGGCTGGCCCGTGGCTCACTTGGGAGAGTGCGGTGCTGATAACACCAAGGCCACGGGTTCGGATCCCATATACGGATGGCCGGTTTGCTCACTGGCTGAGCGTGGTGCTGACAACACCAAGTCAAGGGTTAAGATGCCCTTACCGGTCATCTTTAAAAAAAAATAATAATAAAATAAAATAACTAAAGTCTAAATTCTTCAGTCTAGTCTTCATGTCCCATTATTAAATCATATACTTATATTCTATCTCATTTCACAAAGAATTAATGGCAGCTTACAGGAAACACATATAATCAAGTAGTAAAATACAACTCATAGATAATGAAAATCAAGACCAGGAACAATATAAGTTAGAATAGATAAAAACTAGGGTTAGGGACAGACACACTACAACCTCCTATAGGGTTTCTATTACTAAATTATAAATTTGGCCCTGAGCTTTTAGGTAGTCAAAGTGAAAAGGAAAATAGTTAAATAATACTCATTGTCAGTGAGCAGAACATAACTTTTCCTTATGGAGAAAAAGCTTTTCCTACACATCTCTAAACATAATTTCTCATGTGGCCCTTCAAATGAGGGAACATTGAGATAGTAAGGATAAAATCCTCAACAACATCTTGAGAGCAGATATAGTACTTGTTTCATAAGATGATTTTCAAAATATTTCTCAATAAAAGCTAACAACTAAATAAAACCCATAATGTGAGATTCTAGGGTATTTGTATGTGTTGGAGTGAGAATATTTTAGATTCTCCATTCTGAGAAGAATCCTGAAAAAAGCAGGGCTAGGATTAGTAATCTTCTCACAGCACCTCAGAGTACCAAATTATCATGAACTGTCTCTCAATTTTCTAGCAAATTTGATGAGTTTTGTTGTGTGAAGGGAGCTAGGAAACATTACACAGGAAAACCTTATATTCTTCACACATTTGGGACACGCTTACCCTGCTACATGGAAATCAAGAGCCCTATACAAATTTCCTTGTCATACAAAGTCTCCAAATGTTGTTCTCATATTTAGTCCTCAGTTCTGTGTTTGTTTTTTTTCTTGACAGTTTACTAGTAATATATATATATATATTTTTTTTTTTAAAAGATGACCGGTAAGGGGATCTCAACCCTTGGCTTGGTGTTGTCAGCACCACGCTCAGCCAGTGAGCAAACCGGCCATCCCTATATAGGATCCGAACCTGTGGCCTTGGTGTTATCAGTACCACACTCTACCGAGTGAGCCACAGGCCAGCCCTTACTAGTAATATTGACATACCATTTTTGTTGGTTCAAATATATTTTTCTTAATTATTAACAACTATATTTTTCTAAAAATCTTGGGCCTAATAAGAGGATGGTAGGGCCCCAGAGCATAGTTTTTCTATCCTGTCACATAAAATTGTTCTCTTTATTTTTTAGACATTGAATTCAATGGGTGCAACTGGAAGCATCATCTTTGTTCCCCTTCCACCTCAATTTAGACAATTAAGAATTGTCCAGATGAGAAAATTAAAAAAACCCAGATCTAAAATGAGCTGTGGAGACCTAGATTTTAGAGTATCATGCTAGTGATAAAGCAATATTCAAAATGATTATGGCCTATGGATATCTTAATATGCAGCTTGGACCAAATGTTATAAATCATACAACAACTTACAATTGAGACTCCATCCAAAGCTTTCAGTTCCGGAAGATGAAATATTACAAACAACCGATAGTTTTCTTGATTCCATATAATAATGTTTCCATATGTGTCTAGAATGACCAAGTTGCATAAACCCTAGGTAATAAAAACACATATATTTATATATATATTTATATTTCTGTATCTATAGCTACATATATCACACCCCAATAAGTTTTTTTCCTTTAAAAGGTTAATTACCCTTGGACTTTAATATTTAAATTATCATTTCATAGAATTTGAGTACTTTTAAGTGCAAGGGATACTCTTTCAGACTCCTAAGGTACAATTTTGTGCAATATTACAGTGGTCTATGTTATATGATCAGAATCCCTTTCAGGATGCTGGTGCTAAATGTATTACCTATCAGTGGTAAAGGCTTAGAGGGAACTTAGCTATGTTTAAGACAATATACTTTGTTTATGGAACAATGGGCTATTAAATGATATATATGTATAAAGACAAGATATAACGAGAATGAAAGGCACTGCCATTTGTAAGGGGATAAAACTGAAGATGACTTCTGCCTTCTGAGAGGGTAGGAGAATTCATATTGAGGGAAAATGTGCTTTATTATTACACCAGAGACTTTAACGTGCCTTTGCTGTGAAGGAAGGGCCCTGAGTAGGTGTGGATGGGAGAGATTAAGACAAGAGTAAAACTACTCTGCATCATAATGTAAAATGGCTCATTCTGTTGCTGACATTGCTGTTGATTAGTTTCCCTCTGTAGCTTCAGAAGTAGTAGTTACGGGCCAGCCCGGTGGCGCACTGCTACAGTGCGCCGCTTGGGAGCGCGGCGGCGCTCCCGCCAAGGGTTCGGATCCCACATACAGACCGGTTCCCGCTCACTGGCTGAGCGAGGTGCGGGCGCAGCACCGAGGTTTGCGATCCCGTTGCCAGTCCCGGTCCGGTACGGGTGCGACACTGAGGTTTGTGATCCGTTGCCGGACACGGAAAAAGACAAAAAAAATAAATAAATAAATAAAAAAGAAGTAGTAGTTACAATATACTGGGGGCATATAGGGTTGCGATCCGTTGCCGGACACGGAAAAAGACAAAAAAAATAAATAAATAAATAAAAAAGAAGTAGTAGTTACAATATACTGGGGGCATATGATGGGGAGAAGGCTGAAGGTAAGGAAAGACAGGAAATGGGCATAAGTTTCTGGTAGGAGATAAAATCCTAGCATATAGTATCAGCAAAAGGAGAGACCAGCGTAAGACTCACAGTGCTAGGAAATGGCCATTGAACTTTAGAAACAAGTCACACATTACATTTGAAGTGAATTCCTATTCTGCTCTGTAGAAACTTCTATTTTGTTCAAACCTTCAGTAAAGCCTGTTACACAGCAGCCTTGAGTTAGTGGATTCTTTGGGGGATCTAAAGAGAGCAAATCTGAGCAAAGGTGACCAGAAAGAGTTGGAGCCACTACTAAGAACAGTGAGAGACAATCACGAATTGTATTGAGAACAGGAGAATGTTAAAGAATCCTACTCCCCAACCAGGTTTGGGAATCCTTGGAAATACTGAAGACAACACTGGTTAGGAGAAATGGGTTTGGGTTATTTTATGTGAGTGTTAAAAAAAGTTACCCCAGGAAGTTATCAAATTAGGAGCATTATGGTTACACATACATATATCTGTATGTATACATAAATTAAATGAAAATACATTTTAGCAAACCTTGTTATTCTTATTTTAATTTTCTTTATATTTTTCTACATTTTCCAAATTCTGTACAGTGAATATGCATTATTTTCATAGTATAAAGAAACAAATACTTTTAAATACAAAATAATTATTGCCCCAATGGTCACCTTTAAATTGTAGATCTCCTGATTGACAGTAATATAGTTATTGCTTATGTATAATTCAATTAGAGTAAAAGTTTTTTGTAAACCAATCAATGAAGTGATTTTGTTGTTCCCAAGAGAAAGGGAGTGAAGATGAAGCATGTTATCAAAAGTATGCTTTTCCAAACCAGTGAGAAGATTATTATTTATGCTGAGGCGGGTTAATTTAGTCAGCTTGGAAATGCCTAGAAAAATAAGCAAATTCAGGAAAAGATTCAGACACCACTTAAAGGTTAGTTTAAAAAATAACTGGCTGGTCATTTTATTGTTACTCTTTTTCTAAATTAAAATGGCTTTTAAAACTCTATAATATTAACCATCATTGTTTTTCCTTTTGTTTCAGAAGGATATAATTTTGTGTATAAAGTCCCATCTCATACATTAAATTCTAATTTTGGATTTCTAAGTAGATTCATTCTAAGGTGTTAAGGAAAGGCACCATGTATGAAATATTGAATTTCTATTTTAAATAAACTTAAAATGATATAATTAAGATTTTCACCAACATGACAACACAAAGCTCTTCACAAAGCTCAAAATAACCACCACTCCTCATTTTAAAACATTATAGGTAAGGAACTAGAGTACAACACTCTGAAAAGTATAACTCATTATGGCATCATTTGTATTAAAAAGAACCATTTACCTTGATTCTACCTTTTATGCCTAGAAGTGCCCTAAGACAGAAGTTTAGAAAATGGCATCTCTCACCACAATCTAACCTCTAGCTATATTATGTACTGTAGGCCCTTTATAACTGTAGGTAGGATGGTGCAGTTGAAAGATAAGAACTTTGAAGTCATAGTTGGTTTCAAATGTATCACTACTAGATCTGAGATCACAGTTAAATTATGTAACCTCTGAGCCTCCGTTTCCTCATCCATAAAATAGACATACTGAAATCTACTTCTAAGAGGTTATAGAATTAAATGAAATGATATTTGGAAAGCATCAGGTATAGCTTTTGGCAAATAATTAGTACTCCATACATTTTATACATTTTCCCCATTCACACCAGCCCTTATCAATCTAGGGCAAACTAGGATAAAACCATCAAAGTCAAAGTCCTTAAATGGATATTAAACCTACGCATTTTTACAGAAAAATAAGAGAAAATTCTGTTAAACTTTAGAGGAGTAGCTATATTCTTTGAAAAGTGGGTGTAAGAAAAAATACGTGGAGCTGATAACAACACCAAGGTCAAGAATTTAGATCCTCTTACCGGCCAGCTGCCAAAAAAAAAAAAGCACAGAATGGAGGATTCTCCCCTTTAATAGGTTTATGGAGGAAAACAAAAAGAAAATAGGGTTCTCAATTGTATATACAAAGCAAACTAACACTGTATTGTAAAAAGCACAGAATGGAGGATTCTCCCCTTTAATAGGTTTATGGAGGAAAACAAAAAGAAAACAGGGTTCTCAATTGTATATACAAAGCAAACTAACACTGTATTGAATGGTAAGAGAAGATTGGCCATGATTCTAGACACAGATGCTTGAACTACTTTCAGGTTTACTCAACCGAAATCTACAAAGGAGAGGTCTGTGAATCTGTATATTTAGTAAGTATCCCATGTGATTCTAATGATCCAGAAAGTTTTAGAAACATATTGCTAACAGCTATTAAAATAAAATATGATAAGTGTTATACATGCTGTTTTTAAAAATATTTAATATTTGCTTTTATGTATACAATTTTTTGAAATCAAATGTTCTATTTTCTGAAAAAGGTAGTATACACATGCTAAAAATAATCCAATTCAAAAGTGAATAAAGTGTAAATTAAGTCTCTTTCCCAGCCATGATTTCTAATTTCTACCTTCCCTCCTTGGTAAGGACGACCATGTTACCAAAATGCACATCCAGAAATATTCTTTACCCAGATAAGTATGTATGTATGTATGTATGTATGTGTGCGTGTGTGTGTGTACATGTATGTGTATACACACATACATGTTCCCCTTTTTAATCAAATGGTGCACACTTGTGGGCACATTATTTTTTAATTCCCAGGAGTTAGTAACCCCTTTGAGTGGGTGGAGAAGTAGACTAAGAGGAAATTGTTAGCAAGTCATGGAAGGTTTCTTTCAATTTCTTTCCAGGTTCAAAGCATTAAATAAGGGTAAGAATAAAATATAAAGCTGGGAAGGAGTCAGAAAATATTTAAATTAGTATATTGCAGAACATGCCCTCTAAAATCCTGATTTTGAGCTGCAGATAAGCATAAGCCCAAATGAAGAATCTAGGAAGCTTCACAGAGAGAAGAGAGGAAAAGTCTCTTATTCTCCCTGGTCTAGAAGGACATTTTTCAATACTGAACTTTAAACAGTCAAATAAAACATACTACATTAGTCTCATTATTATTGACCTCAAAGTTCTCAAGGTCCTTACCTTCTATCTTTGAGATGCAGTTTCCATCTAATATTAGCTCCTCCAAGTTAATACAGGATTCTAATCCTTCTATTTTCGTGAGATTATTATTGCTGAATGATGCCCATTTCAAATTTTCCAATTTTTCTAAATTTGTGATTTCAAAGAGATGTTGCCCATCTAAATTTAAGGCAGTTATCTGTAGAATAATTCACATTATAAGTTACTTCTGAATATTGTAAATAAATTCAACCAATGTTATAAGATTAAAAAGGCTAATGAAATAACTCGACTGTGCTAAGTAAACATCAAAAGAATTCCTTTAGGAAGTAAAGATATTGTGAAGCTCTTAGTTTACAAAACAGTAAAATTTGAGAAGACTATAACTCCAAGAGGGGTTTATATGGTATTATAGATACTGTGAGTGCTAGTCAGCTTCCTACTGCAGTGAAGAACTTGGCCCAGCTGCAGGGAGTGCTGTTGGCAGAGCACCGTTAGCTGTCAGCCCCTTCAGGGCTGTCAAGCTCCTTCCCAGGTTGGTCCATAGCCAGTGATGGAAAGATATAAAGGTCTGGTCATCTCAGCCCAATGTGGGACAAATTCAAAGGACCATTCTAATTCCAGAACTCCCCATGGGGTCAGTGAAGGCTGGCACTGGGCGTGCATCTCAGCTCAATGCCTGTATATGAGGGTACTTCAAAAAGTTTGTGGAAAAATAGAATTAAAAGATAATATGGATCTTTTCACACATTCTTGAAGTATCCTTGTATAACCCATAATAAGAACAATGCCATTAATATCTTCCATTTTCAAGTGTCAGCTTCTTTGATACCAGTTTCCATCTTTGGCAAGAGGTTATAAGGGCACCTTATGCCTTAAGAAGCTGCTGGTGCTCTATGATCTTTTCCCTTATCCTTGGCTGAATTCTGACCAGTTCCCCCATTCCTTTGCCAGGAGTCCTGATCCACTGCCATCTAAATTTTGGTTTGATCTCTGGCTCTGAAGCTTTAATGTTTGCTTGCCCATTTTGACATATTATCAGAATCTACCCTTCATCCTAAATCTTCAATTCTG